TCGGAATTTGGCTTTGTTTACATTTCAGACAAGCGCAGTCTTTCAAGCTCAGCGTTCGTTTTCACACCCAAAATGTTTCGTCTCATTTTATCTAGACAGTTGGTATTGGTGACACAGACCAGTTGCAATTTGATTCTAAGATGTATGGGGAATTCAGTGATGCATTTTTCGAAGCTGAATATGAAATATACGTGATGTAATAGGCGTCTCAATACCGGCCTTCGCGAAACGTGATATTGTAAACACTATCCAATATGGCTGGAGCGCTCTACGGCGTTCGTGTAAGTGCATTTTCGAAAACATCCCAACCGATTCTAGATTCATCGGCAACGTTTCAGAATTATAATTAGCGATTTCATGTAAAACTGATATCAGTGATCATGAATATGTTATTTTTGAATTCCATACTCCCAGTAATTATCCGATTTTTACATTTCAAATCATACAGCACATAACGCTGTGAATCGCGATTTCGTACTGTGTCAAAAATGGAGACATTTTCGATGAAGCCTATTTTGAAAGGTCATTTTCAGCACTTGAGCTTTGTCGAAAATTATAGTGGATGGTATCAAGAAACAGTAAATTTCCCGCAGAATTCGAAACTGTGAAGTGTATTTGTGTGCGTGGGATATTTTGATTTTTATTGGACTTGAAATTGAGGGTTGAAGGGGAAGGACATATATGTCCCTATGGCATTTCACCTCACCAACCTCACGCAGGTTTTCAATGCTTTTTAGTCAAAATGAACTGATCTCTGTGCCAAAACCTGTTTTAGTATTCTTCAAAGACGGAAGTGGTTTTTATACAAATGATGGGCCTCTTATAACCTATTACTTTTTAACAGTATTATATTGGCCTTTTATCTGAATATATATGTATGTGTAAGTATCTCATAATCCCTAGGGGCGGTGGGGTAGCCTAATGGTTAAATCGTTGGCTCGTCACGCCGAAGACCCGGGTTCGAATCCCCACATGGGCACAATGTGTGAAGCCCATTTCTGGTGTCCCCCGCCGTGATGTTGCTGGAATATTGCTAACAGCGGCGTAAAACTAAACTCAGTCAGTCAGTCATAATCCCTAATGGAATTGCTTGTGCATTACCTTTTATTCAGTGTATGCTTCGTCTGTAAATATTGTATGTTCAAGGTGAGACTCAAATAAACAATCTGTCTGTCTGCACTTAGGAGTTGAGATTGAAAACCACGTACCCACTGACCGCCGTAATACTGTAGGCTTAGAACATGCCGTAGGATGCGATATGGCGCATTATAAATAATGAACCAGATCATGTAACCCACGAGCTTTAGCAGACAAACTCGAAATCCGAATCTGGATTTTAAACTTATACAACAGACAGTATCCAGGAAGCTAGCCTGGAGGTGTGAAGTATCTCGGCTGGGCCACCATGGCTGCAGACAGGGTTTACAGTCAGTATAGACTAACAACTAGTCTCTGAAATGAACATATTTTACTGAAAAAAGTTCATAGTAAATAAAAAAAATATATAATGAAAAGGAGCCCTGAAGCTGAGGAAATCTAGACTTGCCACGTTTTCTAGACTTGTGTGGGCTTTCTTGGATATATTTGCTTCAGGGTCTGTACGAGAGACTACAGTCGGTACTGAGAGGAGCAGTAGGGGGCAGTGTTTGCAGTTGGTTTGAATCGCTGACTCTATCAAACAAATGTTTCTATTACAAAATTTTTAAAGAGCAAATAAGTTTGGAATGGTACCTCTCAGTGAGTGAGTTGGGTTTTACGCCGCTTTTAGCAATATTCCAGCAATATCACGGCAGGGGACACCATAAATGGGCTTCACACATTGTGCCCATGTGGGGATTCGAACCCGGGTCGTCAGCGTGACGAGCCGACGATTTAACCATTAGGCTACCCCACCGCCCCTGGTACCTCTCAGTAGATAACAGTAAAGAAGTTCCCAGTTGCATTATCACGTTTTTGATGTTCATCTCATGATTTATTTATAGAAACTGGACGCTATACTAATATTAATCGACAAGAGAGACTATGCCAACTATGTGTTTTAATTACTGTCGAGGATGAGTACCATTTCCTTCTTGTTGTCCGCCGTACTTAGACCTTAGAAGAAAATATTTACCGAATCTTTTTATAGATATCCAAACGTTATTACAGTTATATCATTACTAACAAGTACAAACATTTTATCATTTATCAATGTTTATATTCCATATAAATAATAATATTTGAAAAAATGTAAAAGTTACTACTCGGGCGAATATAAATGTATGTATGTTTCATGTACTAAAGGCCTGTGGCCTCATTAAAACGGAAATAAAGGTTGATTGAATTTGCCAGTTGACCATCAGGGCCTGCGGCCGCCAGCAGGCTTTAAAATCTACATTCCCTGAATGAAATCTGCAGGCTCTTTTCTTTAAGTCCAACCAATAAAAACAAAATAGACTACACTGTACACAGTTTCACACGGTTTCTACAAAGTCAATTAGCGAAGCTTATGGTGGAGAGAGGTTTGAATTTACTTGTTAAGACTGGTGTTGACATTCCTATGCGCAAAGTGCTGAAGTACCAGCAGCCTTGTTCCCTGGGTCTGTTGCGCCTGCGCTAACGCTCCGACACTGAGCGTTAACGCAGGCGCAACAGACCCAGGGAACCAGGCTGAAGTACCAGGAAGTGAAACTGTCTAGTATTCGTAACATGATGGATCATGGATGATTCCCGAACGTTAATAAAGAAAAATAATTATGGGAAAGATTCCAGTAAAAACAAAAATTGACAGATAATTTACTGAAGGCAACAAGGGCCTGCAAATATCTGAAACTTCAGGCAATAACGCTGGGTGGGGTAGCCTAGTGGTTGAAGCGTTCAATCGTCACGCTGTAGACCCGGGTTCGATTCCCCACATGGGTACAATGCGTGAAGCCCATTTCAGGTGTCCCCCGCAGTGATATTGCTGGAATATTGCTAAAAGCAGCGTAAAACCATACTCACTCACTTAGTACTGATAAGAACAAAGGGTGCCGACGATGAGTCGTTGTGGAAAGACTTTATTTCCCAAGAAATATCTTCTCGTGAAATCACATTTGGAGTATCGTCTGTAGGATCACAATGCTTATACTCGTATAAACGATCATATGAATGTACGGCTGAAATACTAGGTCAGATCATATAAACAAGTGTTAGAAATATATACATGCTGAAAGAGTATATGGAGGATGATAAGCGGAACATGCATCCCGCCGATGTTAACAGATTTATGGTCAAACAATTATCAACGATAGAATTCTTCAAATGATTTCTTACATTGATAATTTGAAATCTTCATTGTTGGCTGTCCTGATCATGTTGCTTTAGAATTAATTTCGTTAATCGTTAACAAAAATGAATGTAGCATTTTCAGGAACGTTGTAACTTTGTGAATACATAAATGACCATTATTTCATGGAACGAAAATTGGAAACTTTCCTTTTCTTGGATACGATAATTGGATAGAATGGAAAGTTACGACAAATCGGTCTGAGTATTAAGGATGTCTTAACACGTGTTAACAGTCGTACTAAGATATCTTAGTATAATGATCCCATGATGCATTTTGATTAGTGTCGTGTATGTATCATACAAAATATCACCACAATCTTTGGTTAATGAAATTATGTTGGCTATGTACAGAAGCGTGCACATGACGCTGGATGAATATATTATACATATTTCGGATACAGAGCGCCATGATGCATGAATTATGCTGACGTGAATGATACACATTGGGCAAGATAGACGCGAATGCTTCATTCTGATTAAGGCACGTTTGTTAGGAAGTATCTCGGTACAAGGTGGTACATAAGGGTGGGGCTGGGCGGGCGACGCGTGATTGAGGGTCTGATGACAGGGTCCAGTATATAGGTCCAGGCGATGTAAGTTGTACTCCCATTCACATGGATCCTTCAAGTCAAAACATTGATTACACAACAGTCTCGTTTCCTGTTGACTGGGTCCCGTCCTATTGCGCAACTTAGTACAATAATCAGTTCAGAATTTTGAGACCAATTCATTTAACTGGATGCATAATTATTAATCTGTATTATTTGATACATCGAAGCACTTGTATATTGCAACACTACGTTCCTTCTAATCCTTGCAAACACGTGGTGCTCTGTCGTACAGCGAGCTCTGACATACGGAAACCTGGAAATCGTGGAAATCTAGAAAAGTTTGGCGGTCTGGTAACATAACATGTTAATTTTCGCTTACTCGATAAAGTACATATTCTAGTACTTTTTCAGTAAAGTACAATTTTAGTACTTTGTCAGTAAAGTACAGATTCTAGTACTTTGTCAGTAAAGTACAGATTCTAGTACTTTGTCAGTAAAGTACAGATTCTAGTACTTTTCCAGTAAAGTACAGATTCTAGTACTTTGTCAGTAAAGTACAGATTCTAGTACTTTTCCAGTAAAGTACAGATTCTAGTACTTTGTCAGTAAAGTACAGATTCTAGTACTTTGTCAGTAAAGTACAGATTCTAGTACTTTGTCAGTAAAGTACAGATTCTAGTACTTTGCCAGTAAAGTACACATTCTAGTACTTTGCCAGTAAAGTACAGATTCTAGTACTTTGTATTGGTATAATCTCGAGTCTTCTTTTAATTGATGCTTTATAGAATATTCTGTCAGTGACAGAGGTGTCGGGTAGTCCTGTGGATGAAGTGTTAGCTCGTCACGCCTAAGGCCCGGATTCGAGACACCCCACATATGGATATATTTCCGGTGTCCCTTGCCGCGATGTTGCTAGAATATTGCTAAAAGCGGCATAAAACCATACTCATTCACTCACTCACTTGATGGCACTGTCAATCCACATGATTTCATTAGTTACCTAATCAGTTGATTTGTCCTAGCCATTGTTCTGTTGAAATAACAAATGCTAACATGAAATTTAAAAGTAAAATTTTCTAAACATTTCTAAATTTGTCTTGTATAATGACGTTAGGGGAGTATCTGTTCAAGAGGCGCCTGGTTTATATCGGCCTTGACGTTCTGGTGATACACTCAAATCCCGGAAATTTGGCTTTGTCACATGGTCCATAAGAACAAGGGAGGTCACTGAAGGCTTTCACGAAGAGTTTCCCCAGTTGAAGAGATCAGAACGTTCGTATTGCTATTCTTTAACCAACAGGAAACACTTACAATCACCCTTCGGTACCAGAAGGAATCAGCTGCACTGAAAACCGTTCAATCACAAACCAAAACAAAAAGGAAATCCTGGTAACGAACCAATCAGCAGTCATGACAAAGGGCCAATCAGCTGCTCTGTAAGTGAATCAGCTCGTTGTATTCCTTGAAACGAACCTGTCAGCAGGTTAGATACTTCGTCAACCAGATGTTTTGAAGATGAACTGATTCGCTCTATTCTTGAGGACGAAAGACCTTTTTCCTTTGAAATTATCCTACAACTTTCATTCAGCTGTCCTTCACACAAATAACGTCTGCTCGTCACGCTGAAGACCCAGGTTCGATTCCCCACGTGGGTACAATGTGTGGTGCCCATTTCTGGTGTCACCTGCCGTGATATTGCTGGAATATTGCTGAAAACGGCATAAAACCACACTCACTCACTTTACACGAATACGTCAGCAGTCCAGTTAAAGATCCAAGACATCTTTCTGCGAATCACTGATCAGTCTGACTTCAATACCAACATTGGCCATCAGCATGTATCTATAATGACCTGACATCAGTTGTCCTCAGTTTACCGCAACAACAAAACCAGCACTTGGAAGAAGGTATATCATCCAGTTGTCCTGTGTCCTGTAGCAATACTGTCAACTGTCTGGACATAAGCTGGTGGTTGTACAATATCACGTGTCACCGCTGGGTCCTCACATCCATGAATTGCACGTGAACATGAACATATCCGTGAGTCCCTCACGAAGGTCAAGGTTACACACAATAATACATCATTGTTCAGAAGTATACCGTTATTTCTGGCTTCTCGTCAATCGGCGAAATGCCCGGGTCATGATCCAGACTATTCTGTAAGTAGAAACCAAATATTAGTAATGGTGCATTTACAGAACACTTCTCTAACGGTTAAACTATTGCAGACAGAAACGGACGGGGATTTCTCCTTAGGACCTATGCCGATTCGTCGGTTAGCTCTCACTCCTAAGGAATCTGAGGTGATTACAACAAAAGCAGAAATTTGAACTGGAATCGCCTGGAATTGTCAACCACCAATGTTAATGTATTTTGTTGCTTTGTGGAACAATTTCGGGTAGAGAAAATGTTTTGTTTGTTTGTTTGATATTTACGCCGCACTCTGCAATATTCCAGCTATATAGCGGCGATCTGTAATAATCAAGTCTGGACCAGACAATCCAGTGATCAGAAGCATGAACATCGATCAAATAATTGGGATACGATGACATGTGTCAACCATGTCAGCTAGGATTATTGTTTAAAAAAGCAAAGCCTCCATCATCCATCCAGTTATTCTATATTTTCAACAAATTTAGGAACAGTAATGTTTAAAAAAACAAAACAATGAAGCCACGATTCACCCACTCCTACCCAAACAACCAGCATATAAAGTTGTCAGCTCCTACTCTAACTTCAGACAATATCAAATGGTCATCCCATACTTTATCTATTACTTACCAGTGATTTATTTGACGGCATCTCGCCATTCCCCGCCCAGGACAACTTTTTATTCGGAAGAGACTTTGTCCCGATGCCATTCATATTTTTCATAAGTCCCTTTTTACTGCTCGTGCTGTCGCTATGGAGACTGTCGTTAGAATCCTTGAACGTGCTGAGGGAGCTGTTGTGATACGAGTGATCGTTAATAGGTAGCCCATCCTCATCTTCCATATTAGGAAATACTGGTCCATTGGAAGAAAATTTGCCCACATTTCTGTAGGGAATTACAGCAGTCTCGATCTGAATCTCGTCAACGTCTCTGTCATTCTCGGACTCGTCGCTATGCATGTAACCATAGTTACTGTTGCCATCCAGGGTAAACGGGTTCTCTGCTAGTGTCGTGCCTCCGTCTGTGGACTCCTCGTTGGCGAAGTCGATGGCTACCCGGGACGGGGCTCTTGAGCCGGGGTGCTTCTTGAACATAATGCCACGTGGGTCGAGGGAGCTGCGGTTCTTGGCCTTGTCCAGCTGTTCCGTGCTCTGTAGTCTTCTGAACAGAGAAAGGCTGGAATATTAGTAGCGATATGTAGGACAGAGCAGCTGAACGTAATGACTGACACATTTGCTATCGGAACATGACATCTTAATTAAAACGTACCGTAAAGTCAATCGCTTTTTCTGTTCGACAATAACATCTCGAAAACAAACCAAGAAATAATTATTATGATTATTATGATCATTGTTCTTATTATTTGTGTTGACAATGTATAAACACCTTGGTTGGCAAAACGACGTCAATCATGGGAGGAACATGAGGCGCAGTGGACGTACATTTTGTAAAACACTTCAGTATATATAATACTATAGTTAATCTATCACACCACGAAAGAATCGTATGCACTTTACATATTTTGCGAACTAAATGACAGATTAACAATGGTAATATGAAAGAATCATGTATTCTTTACTTCCTTTTAGTAGTATATGTACGTTTTGCCATTATTTTCGTACACTTAGCAGTATTTTGACGGAGTATTAGATGAAATGGCGGACTTTGCTTTTGAAAACGTACCGTCTAACAATGTAGACTGTTAGGATGATGACAATGATGAGGAGAGTCGCGGCGACGACGCCGAGGCAGATGGAGACGACGTCGCTTCCACCTTCCTGCATCGTCACGTTCCCGATGGTTGGACTCTGTGGAGGGAACTTGACCTTCACTACCGCTGAAGATTGACGGGAAGGAACGCCATTGTCTGTTACTATGACAACCACGTCGTATTGGTTTTCCGTTAGGTTGTCTTTATCGGCCGATATTCGGAGCTCTCCTTGTGCGTTAATGGCGAATAGGCTGGAAATGTACATGAAATAAGTTATTAAGGTATAGTTGCAAGTATACAAGAATGGACGGGTAAGATGCGTCATGGCTGCTGCTGGCGTTAACCTTCACCTAGGTAGAAGGTGTATGTGGTAATTTGGATAAACCATGAAGTATCATAAACTAGACTAACGCTTAGTCTATAAATATATACTCATGCCAATAATGGTTGTCACCCCCTCCAATTTTTAAATTAGAGAGGGGGTGTGGGGTGGGGGTGTGAGGTGGGGTTGGGGTTGACAACCATTATTGGCATGAGTATAGTATTGATGGAATTGAAGAGGAGCCACAGTTAGCGGGGGACATTCAGATCCCGGGAAAATCTAGACTTGTTTCATTTGAATGTTGGATTTGAACCAACGATCGGTTGATCTAGGAACAGCCAATTCAGTTACATAACCCTGCCTGGATTAAGAGGGTTTACGTGTGCCATAGTTTGCTTGATGAAATGACAATATGAAGCATGGCTTTAGGGACCGATCATTTTATTTTTCAACCTGGAATTCTATTTAGAGAAAGAATCTTGGCAGTCACTGCTTCAAGGCATTCAACTGTTTCCTCTGTACAGAACAATTCGTTTTTTGCCATGTCTCTGGCGGTGTGTGGTCCTGTGCGTAGAGCTCAGGTCACATTCAGTTGAAGTTAAGCAACGTTGGGCGCGGACAGTCCTCGGATTGGTGACCGTGTTTGGCAGCTTGATTCCAGTTTCTAGGACTTCAGTCCTGCCCCACAACGAAGCACATGTGACGCATGTGGTCTCACCTTAGGCAAGTGAGTTTGTTCAAAATTGCCTCTGTCCACCCAGCAGTAAAATTGGGTACCTGGTATGATACGATGGTAGTCTGAATTTGAACCTTGAGCGCCTGACAGGCGACCGGTTGTATTCTCCACATGGAGTGTTCTGTACTCGTTGACCAGGGGTAATATGTCAGCGCTTTGAGCATGCAATTTGCATGGATAAACGCGCAATATAAATGGACTATTATTATTATTATGTTGTTGTTTTATGGAAATTCAGCTGGTAGGCCCTGATACGTATGACATGCTGTAAGGTTTAGGTATCGTGCAATATTTCTGTATACGGTAAACCTTCAAAGAAACCCAGTCCTACACAAAATATTGATGATTCCTGAGGGTTTTTAGTTCCGTATATGGAATACTAACAACTGTTTGTTTTGGTTTGTTGTTTAATGTCGCACTCCCCAAACAAACAAACAAACAAGAAATATCATTATAAAGTCATTGATATGAATTTGACGAGAGCCTCCACACATAAGCATGCCCTAAGCGCTGACATACCCAGGTCAGGGAATCAATATCCACGTGATTTTAATTCTCAGACCCTTTGAACTTTATTCCAGTTATACGACAGCTTGTCAGCTTAATGGTGGAGGAAAGCCTGAAGTAATTCAAACTTTACTACTTCGGTGAAACCAAAGAGCTTAGGTATGTTCTAGACGACCTTGTAACAATCGGGGTGAAGTGAGAGTCGAGCACCGATAAGTTTCTGGGGGGGTGATAAAGGGAAGCAACTCTGCAATGAATTCCCGCGCCATACGTGACTGGTCGACCGTGTCCCTAATCTGATGGAGAGGCTCAGTATCTACTCATTACAAGGATATCACATTGAAGAGGGCTGAAGGAAACCTGCCCAGTCATGCCTGTGAGCTATGGTTGTTCTCATTTCGATTGACATGGGCCGAGGTGCTTTGACGTAGACTGTGGACCGTGGACCGTGACGTGACGCAGCAGTTGTCACGTCGTGCACGTCTGTAATTACACGTTGGCGACACCCCAGCCCATTCGAGCTGCCTGACTCAAACCTGGTATTTTGTTCATCCCCATTATAATAATGAGGACATCAGCTTCCAAATACCCCGTGCATGCTTTTAAAGCACAAGCGTCATAACTTCAATGTTCATGGGGTCTATCCTCCAGGCGGTAGAATTCTAACAGCTTAGTGAAACAGGTGAGTGAGTGAGTTTAATTTTACGCCGCACTCAGCAATATTCCAGCTATATGGCGGCGGTTTGTAAATAATCGAGTCTGGACCAGACAATCCAGTGATCAAGAGCATGAGCATCGATCTGCGCAATTGGAAACCGATGACATGTGTCAACCAAGTCAGCGAGCCTGACCACCCGATCCTGTTAGTCGCCTCTTACGACAAGCATGGGTTGCTGAAGATCAATTCTAACCCGGATCTTCACGGGTTAGAGAAACAGGAAACCGTTAGTGAGTTTTGTTTAACGCCGTATCAGCAGTTTTGCAGAAAATATCTTTTGTTTTACAATAAATTGAACACAATAAAAATGATGCTGAAAATCACTAAAATATCAACTCCAGGAAAAGTATACAGTTATCTACTATGGCTAGAACTAGCAGGTTAGATCCCCAGTATCCCTAACATTGTACTGTGTGTAAACAGTCAGGACACCCGGTGTTCGCGCAGTGTCAGCAAATCCTGTCATGTGCCCCTGGAACGTGCTGTTTGTATTTTTTATATCTAACTGAAACCCTGTCGTCCAGGGCCCGGTTGTTCAATACTCGGTTATCTTAACCGCCGGTTAACTCCTAACGGCCGGTTAAATCCTTAACCGGCCGTTAGGTAACCGAACGTTAAATATGCGTTGTTCAAAACATGGTTAGTCATGCCGTTAGCTAACGTCGCCGTCAAAGTTTAATAGTGTGGTTAACGTCACTGGTTAGCTTTCATATATCCCACAATTCCGTTTTCTGTTTACTTCCGGATTACCAAAAATGGAATCGCGAAATGTCGCCTGCACCCCAAGGAAAAAGAGAAGTCGAAATTTCTCTGCTGACGATGAGAATGTAATCCAGTCAATGGTTGAGACCAACTCTATAGTTTATCATAGGCATGCGAATGTCGTAGCTCTACGAACGCTTGTATTGGAACACAAGGTTCCAGACGTTTGCATATATATTTCAAAGACATATGATCCCTGTTCTGTGTGGGACTTACTTCAATTCCGACAACAGAAAAGACATTTTAATGAGAAACTATAGCACAGCTATAGATAAAATATAATGAATCCATGAAAATACATGTAATATTAATAGTAGAAGCATGTTTTCAGTGGATAGAATATTTACAAATATTACACACAGGAGTTACGCTTAGACGGCTACAGTCTTAATGAATCTTTGAATTCCCACAAGACCTATCGCTCACTTTTCACTCCTTAAATTGTCATGACTGTATGGCAAAGTCATTAAGATGCTATCAATGTCATTTATTAATTATTTGCCAAGTCAAAATTGTAATGTAAAAACATTGCCAAATGTATGAACACACAATACAGATGTTGTGAAATCTTTTAACATCAAAATAATATAATGTTGTGAGAAACTTAATATGTTACTAGCACCACGTGCAAGTAATCAAACTGTAATTGTACTATAGGCCCCAGGGCCAACACTGCTGAATAAAATCGATTTATTATTCGACCTTACTGTTGACAGGAATCGCATGAATAAAACTGTGCAATATCGTCATTATCTGAACGCCTTCGCAGACGCATATTCCGGAAAGATGTCTTGAAAAACATGAAGCTGCGTCTAATGTATAGATGAACATAATTTCCTCGATACTCATTAATCAGATGAACCTTCATTTAGTTCAATTCACAAGTGACTGCAGAAAATGCATACTTCTTTTTAATGACTTCAAGGTCGGAAAACATGTATCATATTTCATAAGTATATTATAGAACGCTGTAGTAGATGAACATAATTTCCTCGATACTCATTGATCAGATGAACCTCCATTTAGTTCAATTCACAAGGGACTATTGAAAATGCATAGATAGTTCTTTTCAATGTCTTCAAGGACGGAAAACATGTATTATATTTCATAAGTGTATTATAGGACGCTGCAACGATTCGGCAGAGAAATACTATTGTACCATTGTATTCCTTATATAAAATACATCAGTGTATAACATTAGCATTCAGATATTGTTATAAAATATGTTTAAAATTCCAAACATTATCGTGTAAAATGACAAGAGATAGTGTTGTGTTCGCTGTGACAAAAAGGTTTCGATATTCAAATATAACATTTAATCAAAGTGACTACGAAGTAGGCCTGCATATCACTCACAACTCACAACGTTTCGCGAAGGCCGGTATTGAGTTGCCAATTACATCACATATATTTCATATTCAGCTGCGACAAATGCATCACTGAATTCTAAGGCTGGGACGGGTACTACGGTACTCGAATCCGGGTCGGGTACAGCTAGAATCGAGTCCTATTTCTAGGAATCGGGTACCCGGAACGGGAGAGAGCTCTGTAATGACAAGGGCAGACAATAGCTTGTCTTTTTCGTTTTTGACATAACACACATTTACATCAATGAGTGAGTGAGTGACTGAGTTTAGTTTTACGCCACACTCAGCAATATTCCAGCTATATGGCGGCGGTCTGTAAATAATCGAGTCTGGACCAGACAATCCAGTGATCAACAACATGAGCATCGATGTGTGCTATTGGGATACGATGACATGTGTCAACCAAGTCAGCGAGTTTGACCACCCGATCCCGTTCGTCGCCTCTTACGACAAGCATGGGTTACTGAAGATCAATATTCTAACCCGGAAATTCACGGGTTTTTACATCATTGGTATTGTCCGATTAATGGAGCATAGTTTTAATGACTGTAATTTAACTGTGCATGAGCAGTGAGTAGTTAAGTTACAGTAGCAGCAGGAACGTTTCGTTCGTTGTTATAACGAGGAATGTAAGTAATGGTGTTACTCTCTATATTGGTTAAACAGACGTAAATTCAATAGCTTGAGGTCAGTTTTAATGTCTTATTGCCACTTTTTCAAGTTTTCTATAATAGTCTCTGTCAAATCGTGATTGAATATTCAGAGGTTGACCCGAATGTATTTCTTACATATCCGGGTACTCGATTCCATTTTTTCCTACTCGTCCCAGCCCTACTGAA